ATGCAGGAGGAGAAGCATGGCAAAGATGAGATGACTTGGATGGGAAATGAATCACAATAGTGTGCATTGGCMATGCACACTGACTAGCAGAACATAAAAAGTCAGAAATAGAACTAAAAAAATCTGAAAAAAGACAAAATCTGCAAAATAGAAGCCAAAGAAAGCTGAAGTTAGCACAAAGCTACAAAAAAATCAGAAAAAGGGTTTTAAAAAATCAGTAGTTTTATGATCATTTTGAAGAATTTCAGGACAGCTCCTTTCATCTTTAATTAGATAAAAAAATGGCACAAAAAGCTAAATATTTCAAACATATAAGTTGCTGAAAAACCAAAAGTCATAGCCGTAATGTATTGAAGCAGACGAACATTTTGATATAAAAATTGTTGAAATAGAATTATAATTGTGGAAAAAGATGAACCTGCAGAAGAAAAAAAAAGATTTCAACATTGTTCTGAAAGGCCCAGGCTCAGTCCACCAAATCAGTACGTTCACACCAAACGTGTTTTCAGCATCTAAAACGTGCCTGACGCCTCAAGTTGGACACGCTACCTTCAGACCGGGACAGAGACTAGAGGCGCGTCTGAAGAGGGAGGAGCATCTTGATTTTTTTTCCAGGTGAAATAAAGATAAAATAAAGACAACRGCTTTGCTTTATTTACTAAAGAGCAAGCGAACACAGCAGATAATTAATTCACCAGGTAATTTAGAGGCGGTCTGTTCGTTTGGTTTCACCACTCCAGGAGCTGCGAGCTGACAAACTGATTTAGTCCTGAGCTCAGTTTAACACCGCGGTCAGTTTAACGAGCTGCTGACCTGCATCGGTGCTGAWATCTCCAGAACACCAACTGCAGACGGTCGATTTCAGCCAAAGGTCTCCTATCTGTCTGTTTCAGGTTAGTGGGCAACATTCAGGAAACCGTCACGTGGAAAAATGAGTCTCTGATTGGTTGACGTGGTGCATCGAGCAGCAAAAGTTCAGATTTTTCAACTCGAGCGTCGACTGTACGTTAACGCTCAAACCGCACCAACTGCTTCCTTGAGCGCCGTGCTAAATGCTCTAGACGCGCCGCGAGGCCCCTAGACGCATGTCCACCATGGAGTTTACATGTAAACCGGCCGCTCCTGCTGCTCAAAACACGTTCGGTGTGAACGAAGCATTAGGGCCAGTCCTGGAAGAAACAGTTTGGGACCGAGGATTGARCCCTGAGGGACTCCACAAAACAGGTTTTCAGAGTCCAACATGATCTGATTTGTATAAATACAGCTGGTTCTACCAGAAAGGTAAAAGGGAAGCAGTTTCAGATCCAGACCAGATACCCCGATGGTCCAAACACTGATGGACAGAGTCAAAGCAGCTGCGGAAGAACCAAAGCTGACACCATGATGGAGCTAAACTCCAGCTGAAGAAACCAGAACGTTCTTCAGAAAACAACTAAATTTAGCTCTGACATATTTTATGGATTTCTCTTAATCATTTCTGGAGTTTTTGTTAAAATATAAACAGGATTTGTTTTTGTAAACGACCGCTATTTGAAGAGAAATAAAAATTAGGAGCTGCAGCTTCACTCCGTGACTTCGGCTGATTTCTGCCTCTGTCCTTGAATTAAAGCGTGAACTGTTTTATCTGTTCCTCGCTGCAGAGAGGACGGGAGATAATGGAGGGAGTCACCCTGAAGAGAAAGCTCTGCTCGTCTTCGCCATCGTAAACGAGGTCCTCACACACACACACACACACACACACACACACACACACACACACACACAC